GTGTCCTGGAGGTGTGCAGGTCATCTCCCCCAAATCCCTGGCTCCAGGTGAGGGAGGATCCTGCCTGGCTTAAGACACTTTCCTTACTTCAGGCTCCAGTTGAGAGTGAGGCTCTGAGTGGGGTCATTTTTCCAACCAAGAAGAAGCAGCTCAATGGTTTGTTGTTGGTTTGTTGGTTCACGGTGGGTTGAGTTTCGTCGGGTTTTTCCCTCCCCCTCTTTTTCTCTCGTTTTAATGAATCGTTTGGAAGAGGAAAAGTCAAAGGAGATGAAGGAGGGAGGGAGATGAGGTGGGAGAGGATGGTTCTCCCCCTCCTCCAGGTTCATAAGCACCAGAGTATTCAAGTCTTTCCGTGGGGAGACGCCGAGCTGTGGCCGCAGTCAGCAGGCAGAGACCAAACCCTTCTCGTAGGAGCAGCGGCGTTTGCGCTGAGGTCCTTCCTCCTCCTCGTCCTCCTCCTCATCCTCCTCCTCCTCTTCCTCTGAGGATGAGCTGTCCAGTGTTAAATCCACCACATCTGCAGTGGCTTTGCCGTTCTCGCCGTTCCCGGTGGGAGTGGGAAGGAGCCCATTCACATCCGAGGAGCCCGGAGAGGGGAGAGGAGAGGAGAGGAGAGGAGGGAGTCACACAGCTCCTGTGCAGCTCCTGCTTGGGCAGAGTGGGGAAGGGAAGGCTTCAGAGAGACCTTAGAGCCCCTTCCAGGGCCTCAAGGGGCTCCTGCAGAGCTGCAGAGGGACTTGGGATAAGGGATGGAGAGACAGGACACAGGGAATGGGTTCCCACTGCCAGAGGACAGGGAGAGATGGGATATTGGGAAGGAATTCCTCCCTGTAAGGGTGCTGAGGCACTGGAATGGATTTCCCAGAGCAGCTCTGGCTGCTCCATCCCTGGGAATGTTCCAGGCCAGGCTGGAGCAAGCTCCAAGCCCTCTTGGAGCAACCTGGGCTGGTGGAAGGTGTCTCTGCTCATTGGGGTGGGATGGGATGAGCTTTAAGGTCCTTCCAACCCAAGTCATTCCATGATTCTATGATTTCCTCTAGGGATTTCAAGCCTTTATCCCTGGGAAGACTCACCTAGCACTAATATTGGACACTGAGGGCTGCAGCTCCTCTCCTTTTCAGCTCTGATGGGACACCAGGAACCATCCACCAGGTACTCAATTTCATCTGCATCTTCACATTCTGTCAGGATCTTGGACAAGAGCCTGGAGAAGAGACAAGATGAGCTGTGACACCTGAGGCAAAGAGCAGGAGGTGTTTAGGGATGTCCATCAACCTGGATCTTCACCTTACACAGCCCTAAACTGAAAGGAATCTGCTGTTGGCAGAAACCCTTGGAGTCATGGACTTTATTCTCCATAAAACCAGAGCAGGTTCTGATGGTGCAAACTCTCCCAGTCCTTCCTGACAAGGCACCTAAACCATCAACTACCACCTTAATTAGGTGCAATTAGAAGGCAGTTTTGCCTCCTCACCCAGTTTTCCAGGCATTGCTTCCAGGCAGAAGCTGCTGCCTCATCCCAGGTACATTCCCAGGTACATTCCCACCCAGGCATTAGCAAAAGGTGAACTATCCTTTGCCATGAGGAAATCAGCAATCCAACAAGTGGATTCCTTTGCTAGTTTTATTCCCCAAACCTTCACAGTAGCCAGCAAAACATCTGGAACAGGAAAACCATGGAGTGGATATCTCCATGTCAGCTGTGTCTCCACCCAAGGACCTAACTGGAACCAGGCCCTGACACTGGACAAACTGGGGATTTCCTTCATTCCCTGTGTTCCACCATCTGCCTGGGATGTTGGTTTGGAAGGCCTCATTCCCTCCTGGATTTGAGCACTTCCCTTCAGTAGAAAGGAGAACTTGCAGCAAGTTTTCCAAGCTCAGAACACTTTGTGGCACAGCAGTGGGAGAAAATTTCAGGCTTTCCCAGCTCCTGCTGGAATTGTTTCCACAGGCAATCCCAGAGCTGCAGCTCCCAAGGAGCTGCCAAGGCCCAGAGGAACACAGACCCAACCAACCACCTCCTTGGAAGAGCCTATGGCTCCTGCTTGACTCCCAGCACTCAGCTGAGTGCAGGTTCCTTCACTCACTCCCCCAGGGAGGCCTGGAAACAACTTTCCCCCACCAGAACCAGCAGCAAACCCAGCCCTGAGCACTGCAGAGCAGGGCCAAAATCTGCTGAGCCTCCTCCTCCTCCTCAGCCAGGGCACTGCTGCCCTGTGGGGGTTCCACAATCCAACCCCTCCTACCTTCCCCTTCAGTCTCTCCCTTGCCAGAGATCTCCAGGGAACTGGATTTTCCTGTCAGTGTTGGCCAGAGGACAAAGCAAACAGGTTATCAGTGCTAAGGCTGCTCCAGACTGCCTGGAAAGCCACAGGATCACATCAGGACCTACAAACACAGTGAAGCTCCAAGAACCATCCCTGGCCCTGAGGACTCCTCACTTCCCTGCCTGTGTGCCAAGGCAGCTGGATCCATCCCAAGTGCTCCAAACTCTTCCTGCTTTTGAGGGAACCTCTGTTAGATGCCAATCCCACAAGCCATGAGGGTGGAGATGGTGGCAGTGGTCCCAGCCCAAACAGCTTCTCTGCATTTTGGGGCATCAAAGCTGCTTCCAAACCCACCCCAAAAATGCTGCACCAAGAGCCTGTTCCCTCCCACCACATCCCATTTGCCTCTCCCAGAATCCTGAGCACCCCAAGGTCAACCAAGACAGGGATTAACCACCACTGGAAGTCCAAGGAGCCCAGGTGGATCCACAAAATCTTCAGCCTGGACATAGCCAAAGCATTTTAATCCTGTTCATTCAGTGCTTTGGAAGCTT